AAAACAAGTTTCATTTGATTGGTCTTTAAAAAAAGTTGAACAATGTTCTTTAAATTTTGTTTGAGTTCATTTTGTCAGGGTGATATATAAAGTGAGGATTTAGTTTGGCAAAAATAAAATGGTTAAGTGGCTGTAATACAGAGTGTTTGAGTTGGTTTTGTTAAACAACTCCAAATGATTCAAAACAACAAAAACAAACAAAGAAGCTGCTGAGTATCAGTATCTCATCTTTATTGAAGCCACCATGTGTAGAGGTTTTATGTGATTATAGTATTGGAAGAAATGGTTCACATGGTCATTGTCTTTTCTGATAAGACCACCAGGGGAAGCCAGAGTTATAATTTTAACCTAAACAGCAGACAGAAGGGCCTTAGACTTAGTCTCCATCTAGTTAATATGTGATAAGAAGCTATTGTACCGGTGGTGAAATTGGTGGAGACGGAGGAGGTGGACTGTCCTCCCCCCTCGGCCTGCAGCTGCACCCTGTACTTAGATCCAGGAAGAAGTCTGGTCAGGTTGTACTCTGTTGCTGAGGCATTCACAGTCACTTCCTGCGGGAGGTCAAGAAGATGGCATGCGAACTGAGGGTGAAACTACTTGTTCAAACTGTAAGAAGCAAGTAATCATCAAGTAAATGGTCAGTGACACTTTATTTTATGAGTTTGTAATGTTAAAATTATTTTCTAGTAATTTTCTTGAAATAACTAAAAAAAATGTTCAGTTATAAGAAAAATAGAGCCGGTGCTCCACAGATACATGTGATTACTTTTAGTTACTTGCTAAGTTTTTGTGAGTGCACAGCAGGTCAGCTGAACCTGTAGAAGGCACGCAGGCTATTAACATAAATTAGTGGTTTCCTTATAATTAGTATCAAATTACATAGATCTTCTCAAGAAAATTCCAAAGTATTTATTAAGAATTTACTGATGAGTAAAATATAAAACACGATGAATTTACAGTAGAAGAACCAAACCGCTGCAGCTCCTTTAACACTTATAAATAATTCAGGTTTGGTTTTGGGCAGCTACAGTACATGTTTTAAGACTTGTGTTTTCAGAGTACTGAGGATTTCATAAAAGCTAACCTTCCTTTCTTGACCTTTTGTCTGATAGGTCAACCTGTAGCTCTCCACGGGCTTTGGCGGGCGTTTCCATGACAACAGGGCCGTGCGAGGGGTCACGTTGATGGCTCGGAGATCACGAGGCCCGTCCCTGTCTTTCCCTGGAGAGGAAGAGCAGCTGGATGCTAGTTACATTATACCTGGGTCTTATTACCTGCTTTGGGGTTGAGGGTTTTGTGATCCTGTAGTTCACCAAGTCAAACTATTGCCACCATGTGCGTGTGCCATGTGTCTGTGTGTGCTGACCACTGGTGGTGGTAAAGCTGGTGCTGGCTGGGGAACTCTCCAGACTGCCCTGCTGACTGGTTATGGTAACGGTGTAGGTGGTGGATCCTTGGAGATCGCTCAGCTGCTGCTCTGCTGCATTTCCAGACACCGAGATCCTCACCTCCGAGCCTGAGGAAACACAGTCAGCTGGTCAGCTGGCACCAAAACCCGAATGTCTTTTAATTAATCTGAGGAGGAAATAAAAAGCCAAGAAGTGTGGCTGAGGGAGGGAAAAAGCAGGAGTGGGCTAAGTGACCGAAACTGCAGCTTGGTTTTTATCTGGGAATTATTTCATGTAATCCAGTGTAAATCTCAGGTTTGTCAGTGATTATGTGGGGGGTGATGTTGCAGACTGGGATCTCTGCAGAAATAAGGCTGTATTTTACAGCTGAGGACTCTCACGGTGAGGACTTAAAAACAATACATGTTTAAAATATGAGTTACAACTCACACAAAGCAGCATAAAACTCCGTTCTTCAAGTGGCAGTTTCAACAGTTAATTTGTCTGAGACTTTTTTCTTTAACACATTTTCCCCCTTTATTGAAAAGAGAAGTGTAACATGCAACAAAAGATGGGGATGTTGCAATAATAATAGCAATAATCAAAATACTACTACAAATAATAATAATAATAGTAATAATATGCATTTAGCTCCCTGTCCACCAGGACACCCCATAAAGTGCTACTATAAGTGAGTTGCCACTTATGTTCATCCTGCTGCCTGCCAAATAGTCGAAGTGCAGCTGGTGCACATGAGCAGCTGAAAAGAAAAAGCAATGATGGGCAGACACAACAACACTGAGTGTAGATTACATTAACAAATACACAACAAACGCTGCACCACCACCTACCTGTACCTGAGCCGTAGACGATGGCGTATTTATCAGCAGCAGCCAAAGCCGGACGCCACAGTAACAAGGCCTTGGTGTCCGTAATGTTTATAACCCGGAGGTCTGTTGGTGGGTCGGGGACTGAGAGGGATAATAAACAGAGTGTTCCTTATAATGATTTCACTTTATCTGCACCCAATGTGGTAAAAACAGAGCACACATGTAAAAAAAAGGCCAAAGAATCCATCTGAATTAAATTAAAAATACATGCAGGTTAAGATTTTAGCTTATTAACTTATTCAACTGTCTTGAACTTTGTTTTATACAAAAAATAAAATATCTTCAGCAGCTTGTTAAAATTTGCTGTCAGATTCTTGTAGTAAACTATCTGTAAACCTTTTCCCTTTACCTCAGAAAGAACGAAGCATGACTAATGTATGTAAAAAGAACAATATTTCTGTAGAAAGCTATAACCACTGCTGTGGATATTTCTTTGCATCATTTCACAAACCTCAATTCTTTTATATGTACTGTATATCACAATTTGTTACCAAGAATCAGATTTCAGTCTCAAATGATGAGCCAAGATGGATGACAAATAACTTAAATATACTCTAAACATCTACAATGGCAACAACCAGGCTTGGACTGCAGGGGCGTTAGTAAAGTCAGAGTCAAAGCAGCTGTATCACACTCTCTGATTCTGTAGTGTAAAACCACAGTCTGTCTGTGTCCTGCTCAGTGGGTCCAAGACAATACAACAAGCTGAAGTGTAGAGGGAAACCTGTCTGGTTGTGCTGCAGGACTCACGTGTTGTGACAGACTCTTTGACTGGCTCGCTCTCATTCTGCTCCAGGATGGAGATGACACTGACCTCATAAGAGGAGCCGGGGGAGAGCTGTGATAGATCAAAGGTGGTGCCCTCAGTGTCTAAGGACACCGGCACCGGCTCACCTTCGTGAAGAAGAAGAAGGAGTGATTTATTCATTCACCCAAAATGACTAAGGTGCAGGCACACCAAATTTACTAGTTGACTCTGTCCCATCTCTGAAACTGAGCACATGTGGCTAGCTTGTCAACAAACCTCTGGCCTGCCAGGTAAAATGAAGTTGATTCATTCATTTGAAGGAAGAGTAAAGCTAACTCCTTATAGCATTTTAAAAGGCTGAAGCTACTGAAACAGGAAGGAGTAGGGTTCTAGTAGGTGACCTTTCAACCTGCAGGGAGGATTCTGTTTTGGAGAAGGCACTAGCACTGTCTGGGCTGCTTTCACACCTGGCTGAGATCTGATCACACCTGCATTTACACCTCAGATAGGACGTCCAGCTACAGACTGCATTTTAATGCCAGGATAAATGAGGTGTTGCTGGGGGATCCTCCATCATGGGGGTGGCATCAGTGTGGTAACCACATGTGCAGGATTTCATGAAAAACTCTACACTAAAATTGAAGAAAAACAAAACTTCATAGCTGAAAGGCCTGATATCAGTGTGGGCTGTGGTAACTGGAGCCACACTGGAATGTTATATGGTATGAATGCTGCACTTCACAAGGTGTGGATGGAGCATGGCGCGACCAGACAGCAGCTTGAACAGGATGTTTAGCACAGGTCTAGTTACTCTTTAAACTGCTGTTGAGTTCATCTATTTTGGCTACTTAGTGTAAATTTCCTCTAGACAGCAAAAAGCCAGTGTTGTTGTTTTAATGTAATTATCTTCTATAATAAGTCATCGGTGTGAGTTCTCACCATCCTCAGCGTGGGCGTAGGTGAGTTTGAAACCACTAACAGGGGTTTTTGGCTTGGTCCAGGACACTGTCACAGAGTTTTCTGTCACCTTACTGAAGACTATGTTGGATGGAGGCTCCGGACCTGGATCGTACAAAGAACACCATGAAAGAGATCAGTGAAAGGAAGGAAGGAAACAAGGAGGAGAAAGTAAAAAAAACTTATAGAAGAAAAGGAAGAAACTAAGAAATCAAGAACAAGTTTGGGTTTCATGAAAGATAATTAGGTAGAGAGAAATGACAAAATGGCCACTAGAAGAGTGAGAACACTGTGTACATAATTATTTATTCATCCACACATTTGCTATTAGTGCTCCAATGAATTTATGTGTATATATGTACAGTGCAAACATATATACAGTATACAAATCATATACAGATACAGTGCAACAATCAAATGCAGGTGATGGGTCCTGGACAGCAGCAAAGGAGAGAATGGTGACATTTTAATACAGCGGTTAGCTGTTTGCTGAAACCTGAAAATAAATGCGTGGCAGAAATAATGTCAAAACAAAGAAAGAAAACCTGATCATTTCACCTATTATTAGGAATGAACAAACACAAATACAGTGAAATATGAATTCAACACAGTCATCAGAGCTGAAAGTGAAGAAACACATTTAAAGTGTTAGGAATTGACTTTCAACCTGACTAGAGTTTGAATGAGTTTTATTTAGAAATGAGCTCATACTTAAAAAAAAATGGGTCAAAACTCTGGGCTGGGTGTCGCTGAGCAAATTCTGACCCTGTGAAATTAAATATGTACCCTGTTGTCAGTTTGTACAGTACTGACTGTTTTTCTGACACCCAGACTAATACACAATATCTACATTTAACTTTAATATATTATGATTTTTAGTACAACTGAATAACAACTTTAATGTTGTGCGTTTGGACATAAAAGGTGAAGACAGACTAAACGTATAGGGTATCTACATTTAACTTTAATATATTATGATTTTTAGTACAACTGAATAACAACTTTAATGTTGTGCGTTTGGACATAAAAGGTGAAGACAGACTAAACGTATAGGGACCAGCTGTGGTCTTACCCTGATCTGGGTGAGAGATGAAGGGGTGTCAGTGAAGCTTGCTGTTAGCTTACCCTGAATGAATGAGAGAAGACCAGAGCAGCAGTGAATGAATGTTATGTTGTTACTGTTGTTTTTGAAACTCTGATTTGATGTCACCTCAGATGACTACATGGTACTACTAGACAAACTCTCAGTGCTAAAGTGGTTTAAGTTACATTGTCAGCACAGGAACTGTTTTGTCACAGTTACTATTGAGTAACACATCAGGGCGATGCGAGGTTCCCACACCCCACATGTTGTCTTTGGACCTCTTCGATTTATGGCTACATGTTACACAGCACAAGAACAGACTTTAACCATAATTATGCTGAGGAGACTCAAATTTACCTTAGTCTGTCACAAGCAGCTATGTCTATAACTTCTCTCTGTAAAGGAAATGTATGGTTTTAAACCTTCTTCAGCCTGTTTCAGACAAGGCCAAGAGTTTGTTCATCTCGACTCTCCATAATTCAAGTCAGAAATATGGGTGTAATCTTCAACTCAGAGTTAATCATTGACAGCTCGATCAAATCTATGATAAAATCTCCATCCTACCATCTTAAAACCATGTCCTAACAGAGTCCAAACAAACAAAAATCAATTATCAGTATATCTGATCAGCAGATGCTAATGATAACATGCAGCTGCAACACTTGACTAGCACACAATTTGGCTGGCTGAGACAAACTGTGTCAGTGCACATCTGAGACTTGACATCAACTCATTGAGTGTGTCTGCATAACAGAGAGAGTGCTGGTTATGTTGTATGACTCCTAATTCATGAATATGAGTATTTCACATATTCATGAGAGCTGATGAACGAGGGCACACACACAACAAAAAACTACTTAACGGACATCATCAACATCAACTGTGAAAACAAACAAGAAAACAGGTTATATGTCAGCGAAGAAATGTTTATATGGGAAACACATGGGGGACAAATCTGATCAGTAAAACACTTCACGTTTTCAAGAGCAATACTTGAGTGCTTGAAATGAAAATGGAGGAGGCATTTAGTGGATACACAAACATTTCCAGTCACATTCCAGACAAATGATTAGTTAACAGATGAACATGTGTTTTAATCAGAGTAACCTGAAGTGTATTAAAGATTAAAAAAAAACATATGAATGAACAGATTTTTTTTTTAAATCTGAGAAGTCTGAGGTGCGAGATCAAGAAGAAAAGATCATGTTACTTGGTGGAGAGCTTCACAACATTGAACTGAATGTTGTAGCATTGTACAGTAGTGATTCATGTTGCTCTACTGTCACAATGGCTTGTACCTGTACTGATGACAAGCTTCTCCAGTCTGGACAGAACGCCAGGACCCTTTCCAAGCACGGTCACAGTGTACTCCGTCTGTGGAGACAGATCCTCAAAATGGAAGGAGCGAGATAAACCAGGAAGAATCTTTTTCAAGGTTTTGTTACTTTCTGTTGCAGGTTTGGCAGCCGTGCCACTTTGTTTCCTTGGAATATGTGTGACAGCACTTTCGGGAAGTGTGTTTTCATCTTCACTGTTTATGTTTTCTGCTTCTTTGGTTGGTTGATGCTTTGCTTCTTCATCTTCATTATCACCATCCTTGTCAAAGTCTTCATGTTTTCCTTCTCTTTGCTGATCTTTCCTGCCTTCTGTCACCTTTGATCCATCATCCTTTCCAGCTTCTTTCATAGTCACAACAAAGTTTTTGTACTTTCCTTCTGGTGATCCCCATATGAGTGTAAAGCCATCTGAGGTCTGGTTTGTCACATTCACATAGTCCAGAGGTTCCCTTGTGACTCCAGGTGATACAACATCTGGCCCCTTCATGGGACTGAAAGCAGGACTTCTTGTCTGTGCAGTTTTACCGTCAAACACCGTTCTTGCAGTGTTAATTGTTTTTGGATCCTCTCCCCTTGGTCCCGTCATACTTCTTGTTGGTAGCTGCTTCTTTGGAAGCATGGCTGGTCTTGAGGCTGCTGAATCAGAGGAAGTTTGTTTGATAGTTGGGATGCTAGTTTCTTCTTTCCCAGATTTGGTAGTTTGGACTACATCTACTCCTTTATCTAATTCATTCATTTGTGGTCTGATGGTTGTATCATGGCCTCCTTTTTGAGAAGTTGCTATTATGTTGGCACTTTCTTTTCTGCCAGATTGTATAATTTGGACTTCTTGAGTAGCTCTGGGAACATCCCGCTCTCCTGGTTGTTGGTTATGTGGGATTTCAGGGGTACTATCCTGTCTGATCTGGCTTGTTTGATTTCCAGCAGTAATGCCGCTGCCTCCGATTATCTTTCTGGTTATGTAAGGTTTGCGCATAAGACCTCTGTTTGGATGCTGAGGTGGTCTCGAGGTCAGATGTGTTCTGTTTTGGGATGATCTGCCATGCAGTTGTGGGTGATGGAAGAGATTAAATCTGTTGGGTTGGTGGTGGATGGAAGATACTCTACCACCTCTGGGAGTCTGATTTAACTGCTTAGACATGCTTGTTGGGGAGACTCTAGGCACACCTCTGTCTTTATTCTCCTCTCCTACTGGACCTGTACGTCCAGCTGGATAGGGAGCTTTGGTAACAGGAAGCGATGTAGTGGTTGGCATCTGCTGCTTCAGTGTCTCTCTTTCAGGACTTAAAGGTCGAGAGGGGCGAGTCAGGAGCCTCAAATTTGGGTGAGTTTGCTTCCGACGAGGTCCCATATTTGGAAAGGGGCGACGCAGATATCCACCCTTTGGAGGAGGATGGCGAACTGGGATTCGTACTCTTTCTTTTGGCATCTTTTCCTGGTTTTGTTCAGCTCCAGAGGGTGTGGTTGTATCTCCAGTTGCATCCTTCTCTGGTGCATTTGAAGCAGATGAAGAAGTTGAAGATTCAATGGTGGATGTATGTCTGGCCTCTGTCTCTTTTCTAGGAATGACGTTCAAGGGAGGAGGGAAACGGTGAGGAATTCTCAAATTTTGATAGGTTTTGTTCTGAAACAATCCAAAGATTGGTCGTGGGTGACGCGTGTATCCATGTTTTAGACCTTCTCTTGAGGGTAGTAGTGGTTTCCTGTCTCTTGGTGATGCAACATCGGTGATGTGCTGGTTGTTTTCAGCATCTTTTTCATTGCTTACAAATGAATCTGATTTATCTGAACTGGAAGAGGATGATGGTGGTGGTGATGATGATGATGACGGTAATAATGGTGCTGTTTTTGGTGAAGATGAAACTAGAGAGGATGAGGAAGATGATGATGGTGCAGCTGAGGACTGTGATGAGGATAAATGTGAGGTTGCTATGGATGATGAAGAGGACGAGAATGATGATAAAGGCTTCAGTTCACTTAAAATCTGCTTCCTCATTGTTTCTGTGTCAGTAGAGAGGTTTGATGATTTGGACAGGTGAATAAAAAACGTTGTGATATTCAGACTCTCATAAGTGTCCGTCAGGAGTTTATGTAAAGGATCAGGTGTGTAGTCAGGGTCTGACTCTCCATTTGGATCCGTTTCAGAGGAGCCTTGATCTGAATCCAGTGTGTTTCCTACCAGCACTGTTCCATCCTCTCTACACTTGCTGCCTTTGCCCAAAAGGGGTAATCTGATGTGTGTCACTTTAGTTTTGTTCACACATTTCTTCTCCTGAATGGCCCCACGAGGCTCTAAAGATTCTGGAGCAGTGTCATTTCCTTGACCTGTCTTGCCAGTATCTGGTTGATTTGTTGATTCTTCTGAGGTACTATGTTGGTTTGTTTCTGAATCCGCCCTAGACATTATAGCTGGATGTTTTTCATCTCCCCTCTCAGAGCTTGATGTCTCCACACTCAGGTCACTTGGAGTTAAAGCTGTTGTCCTCTCTCCTGTTTTGAAGACACTTGGTTTAGGCTTCTTGGGTATAGATGCTTTCTTCTTGTCCCCCACTAGGGGCTTTCTCAAAGGGCCAGGAACAACCTTTCTCCCTCCAGGCACAACTCTCGTTGCATTTAAATGGAACGGGCCTGAAATATTTGTCTTCCTGGCCAGAGTGGGGCTTTGAACAAGTTTGGGCCTGGTGCCATTTGTTGCCATTGTTTTGATGACCAGAGGTTTAGGCCTGGCCATCACAGTAGTTGAGGATTGTTTGTTTGGCCCATCAATACCTTTAACTTTTACAAAATCAGCCTCACTCCTATTCCCCTTCCTCCCATGTGGGTCAGAGACCTGCACATCAGGTGATGGGTTAAACTCTTGGTCTGGTTCACCAACATCTTCTCCAGGTGCTAGCATGACCGACATGGTCAAAGTTGCAGAGGTGACCATGGGTAATGTCTTCCCTAAAGATGTGAAGAAAGTGAGCATTTGAATTAAATGTTACAGTCCCTGCATGCTGCTGTTGTTAATAATTCAGGAAAGATCAGGTCTAATAAAGAAAGAAAATCAGTTTTAATATTTATAGGCCCCCATTTACATTAGACTCACAACACTATAATTTACACTTAGCCACATATGCATCTCAGCTGGTCAGATCACAGATCTAATTATGATCCATCTTTGTATTCTCAACTGCAAACAAATCAGGGTCGGCCCTCCTCCAGTCCACATGGAGGTGGTGATGCACCTGAAGCTGTTTGGTAACTGATGAAAACACCAGAGGAATAGTTCAGCTAACATAACACAAACGCATGAATAAATTGTAGCTGTGAACTATGAGCGAGATCAAAGTATCCTCATCATGGCTGTAAGGTGCGACCCCCTCAGCCACACAAACCATCCAATGGTTGAAGTGATCAGGGATCAGATAAACTTTGATTTTCTACAGGACATGAGCAAATCCCTTCGCAAAGCACTATGGAAATCCATGTGACATGGAAAAGGCTCACGAAGTGACCAGAGAGGATGGGTCAAAGTTAAACTTTTTTAACTTGATGCAAATGAGGGCGAAATTCATCCAGAGGTGATGCTGTGAAAACTGACAGTGGCTTGTTCAGAGCCAGGTGAAAGGTAACAAAATCAGACAGCGAGTGGATATTTCCACACACTGCTTACTCTCAGCGTTACACTGTGTAGGATTCATTTACAGCTTTTTAACATCTGGCTAGATGGACTGGATTTCAGTCTGTCTTCAAAGCTTCTTGGATTAACACTTATCTTTTTTTCAGATGTGATCTGCCCAAAACACACAGTGACTAAATGTAAACGGGGTCGTACTTTGCAGGAAAACTGGTTTACAGCAGTTTGTCAGTTATTATGCAAGCACAAACACCCATCTTAGGGCCATGGTATCCAAGTAGAACCTGCAGGGAGAAAATTGAGATACAATTAATGTTAAGCTTGGACAGAGGAGTTCAACATGTTTGGTGTCTCTGTCACTGTAGAGAAGAAAATATCATGGCTGAGTTCAGAAAGAATATACTACATAATTATATCCTTATAAGGTATTTTCTCCTACACACCACAATAAAGTTTGTTAGGAGGGGAATGGGTCACCTCCTAACCGGAGGGTTCGCAGTTCGATTCCCAGCTCCTCTGGTCCACATGTCAAAGTGTCTTTGATCGAGACACTGAACCCCAGGTTGCTCCTGCTGGCCGTCCCACTACTGTGTCAGTGCATAGAAGAAGCTATACAAGTCCATTTACCATTTTACAGTACACGTTACAAAGAGGTACTGCATGTGGGCTGTGATATAATGTGTGGTTGTGCTCTCTATTTTACCCTTTACACCATGTTAACTCCCTATCCACTCAGTTTTGTTTAAAAAAGTTATTTTTTGTACAACAATACCATAACTGTGGGTGTTTTTGAAACTGTTGCCAATACTTCAGGTCTTTTTGAACTCCACTGTGACATTTGCTGAGTCAAAATAAAAGTTCATCCACCTCCAGAAGAACTGGTCTTCTGTCCTACTCACCGGGAACTGCTTGGGTGGTGGCCGGTTTGCTCCGACTGCTGTCCTTCTCTGCAATGACAGCGATGGTATACAAATGCCCTGCCTCCAGATGCTGGATGTGGGCAGAGTTTTGCTCAACTGGGATGATAATTTCCTGACTTCCCTCTGCTCCGTCACTGGGTGTGACTGCCAAGCGATACCTATCAATCTCCCCATGTGACTTCTCCCACTGGACCACTGCAGACGTCGAGGTCGTCTTGACGACTTGGAGGTTGGTGGGACCGGAGATGACTGTGGATGAAAAAGTAGAAGAAAAAGGCAAAAGACTTAATTTACAACTTTTTCTGTCTCTCTTCTACTAGGTAATATGCATCTTTACAAACAGATTATGAAATAATGGGCCCCTGGGCCCAGATGTATTAAAGGCCTCCAGACTGACAGTTTGTGTCACCTTGGACTCCAGTAGGTCTGTTCATGAATCCATGAGTGATTCTGAGGGAAAGTAGGTCCACAAATATCCACTCACACTTTTCTAACCTTAGATTTTCCCTGCGGACTTGGCTCAGAACATTTCCTTCTCCTCTTCACGACCCTAAACCCACAGTTTTGACCCTACAGTCTTAGTC